CGAATGTTTTATCCTTTACGGGCACCTAAATGGTTTACCTATGCATTTTATGATTTGTCACGATTGCCAATTATGATTTTTAAAAATTAATTGATTCAATTTACGTTATCGATAACTCTCACATACAGATTTATATGGATATTTCACTGCCGAATTACTATTTTATCGTTACTTAATACAAAAACTAAGTAATAGCCACAGGCAAAATAATTTTGTAGTAGATTGTTCTCAGCACTGGAAACTATGAATAATCCGTTCCTAATTTTAACCGCCATGAAATTTTTATATGCAAGACAGTACAATATGCTTAGTGCAACACCCCTAGCGGCAAACGTAGTCAAACGTTCCAGCTCCATACAAATTTGAGTTAACTTTTACGCTATCGAGAACGTTAAAAAACACGCACTAAGCACATTGAATCTGAAAAGAGCTCAAAATGTGGTTCATACCTTTTTAGGACAAAACGAATTCTATAATGAAGTCCTTTTAATGTTTTTTTTTAATTTGTAATATGTATAAAGAAATAGGTCACTCTCCTAAGATTTTGGGATTTTGAATTTAAGATGGGATTTTGTGTTGTTGTTTGGAATGTTGTTTTGAAATGTTGTCAATTGTAGATAACCACTATTGAGTCACTGCGCTTTATAGATTTGAAATTTTATTTCTAATAGTTTTACATTGCTATAGGCCGCATACGATAAAACTATCATTCTGAAAAAATTAACCTGTGATTTTATTTTTAATAAATTTAACGTCTGTGAAAACTTACTCTGCAGAGTTATTTTAAGTACTAACTTATTTAATTTTTAATTCATCGACTTGTAAACACAATAAGGCAATCATCTATTTTTGACATGATATAGATTGGCAATGCGATAATTTGAAACATTTTAATAATCGGATAGATATTCCACAATTTACTTTTTAGCTTTTTAATAGCAGATTCAATGTTCCAGTTTCGAAATTATTTATAGTTAATATTGATCAACTTCTTGCATTCGTATTGCTTTTACTTTTTTTTAACTTTTGCAATAACTTTATTCAATTACATTTAAAGTCACACGTATTAACTACCATGTATGGGTTTGTCGCTTTGATTGGAATTTAAGACTTTATTACATCATTATTTCATCACATTTTGAATGAAGGGACAAAATTGAGACAACCTGTTAAATTAAAACCTACAATTCGTTTCAGACAAATGGAACTCATATTTTAATAAGGTCATTTAAACGGAACAGTCAGTTTCACAAACGCACTGAATGAAAGTTTGGCATATAAATTTTATCATTACAACATATCAGTAGGAAACGCGATGTCGTTTAAATCAAAACTTTTCTGTACCAGATTACTGCAATTAGTATTTGAAATAGTGTTATTTCAAACTCAGAAAAACAATACAGATTGCAAGGGACTTGTGACTTTGCGGTTAAAAGATGAAAAATCATTATAGAAATAGGTTCGCCACCTCGCTAATTCTAGCTACTCTATTACTATATTGCGTTAACCTACTAGCAACTAATCCTGTTATTTCAAACTCAGAAAAACAATACAGATTGCAAGGGACTTGTGACTTTGCGGTTAAAAGATGAAAAATCATTATAGAAATAGGTTCGCCTCCCCGCTAATTCTAGCTACTCTATTACTATATTGCGTTAACATACTAGCAACTAATCCATATCAGCAGCATCATGTCAAAATTACTTACTCCTCACCAAATTCTGCCCACGCCCCTAATTTAATAATGACCGCACGGATAGATACCATCGACCAATTTCTATGATGAAATTCTAGGAGTTTCGATATGACAGCGATTATAATCGTAATAATATAACGGACTTCCACGTTATGTCCCAAAGTGACTCCCCGCGTTTACTTCGCAATGTCCATGAGCTCCAGTAACCGCTAAACAGAAAACAAAGAACCTTGAGTTATCTGCGTTAACTAAAAAAAAACTTTATTTACGATTCAATTAATTGTAATTTTTGTGGGAATATTTAAAATTTAAATTTCGGACATCATAAAAGCAATTGTCTTAGGAAACAGTTTCTGTACTAAACAGTTAACGTACGAGATTCATTGTGAAGAATGGGCAATGGTATGGCTTTTCATTTTGTAAATTCTCGAGCAGACTTTACTATGCAACTTCATGCACCTTTGCGCTCACAATAAACGAAGAGCTAACCATTAATTATACACTAACACCCAACGCCACATATCGTGCTTTATTTTTTTGCTTCATGCTTTTTTATGATCGATATTATGAATTTCGAATAACTCAATGATTAAAAATGTAAATCATTAATATTTCACAAATTGAATGTTCACTTTAATTTTATTATTATCTCATTATGTTTTAGATTCTTTTGTTGGTTGTCCGTTAACCTATTATAAATGGAGTGAGGATCGCCTTATTCCCTTAAATAAATAAAAAAGAAGGAAAGAAGGGTCTGTTTTTTGCAATCTCATAGATTTTTATAGATGGTACATTTTTAGTGGTTCTGGAAAAAATATGCTCTAAATAGAATGTTATGATCCACATATTTTTATAATCTAGCCAACGGCAATATTTTTGACCGTTAAATCTGTAATGTTGGCTACAAATTTTAAACCAAAGTTTGAAGTGTGCGTTCCTGTCTGATTAATTAAGTTATTGTTGTAAATAATGTTTGTATGATAAAGCTTTTCATTCTCATTACTTTAATCGTTCATAATATAAATTACGTGTATGCTTTTGGCAGTGATTTATAAATTTGTATTTCAAGAAGACTAGTACATATAGCCCGTTTATTCGTGTTCGCTGTTTTTTTCCGCAATACGGATATTTATTGATATTAACGACTCCATAGTAAATAATAATCTAAGGCAATGATTTCAAAGTATAAAAGTCGCTCAAAATATTACATTTAAACTGTTTCTATTCTAAGACTCTTACCGCTAATTCACGTTAAGGCACTATTTTTTATCGACACGAAAACACCCATAATTTTTTGAATTACCTAGATTAACGCATCGCTTGCATGCCATATATTTTTGACACTGTTGTTCGAAATAGCAGCAACACACCAACTTGAAACCATAACGGCAATGTTAATCTTAGATCAATCTTAAACAATCCTTCTGGAATCGAGAAAACTTTTCAATCTCATTTTGACAACAGCTATCGAGAACGATCACGTAAAAATTAAAATGATATGATCTTCTAATCACATTGCCAATTCATTGCATCCTAATTATATTTAACAAGGAACTTTAACACTTCCAGTACGTTCATTTTATAGTTTGAGTACAAAGATGTAAGTACTTATCTTTATTGCTCTTTTTTTTATGAAATATGAATTCCCTTTAATGTTTCACATTCGTGTGCTAATATTTATGATGAAATAAATATCCCTTAAAACCTTTTAATGAAATAATTCACTTTTTATTATGAAAATTTATAACAATTAATATTGTATCATGTCAGTCGATGAACCACACATTGGTCATTTTGTAAAAAAAATACGGGTCTCAAAATATCAAAACCCAAACTACATATTTGACGCGATCAGGAATAGTGTAAACATTCATTACCTTATTTTATATAAACGATTTCACTAAAGAAATGATTGACATTATTCAGGCCGAATTTTCTGTAACACCGACATCAGTTAAACACATAAAACAACAAACATCAAAGACCGGCGTAGATCGATCCGCCGCTTCATCACCGACGCACAACACACGTTTTGAACCGAAAAACGAACATCGTATCGCATAGGACATTTTATTGTTCAAGGGCTAAGAGCATAATTCCTGCGTGCCAATTCGTTTCAAAACTGAAGATACAATTTATTTAATTTATTCGTGGCCAAAAAGTCCATCGTGTCAAAATGAGTCTCAATTCAATCGTAATTATGTCTATGCTGTCCTTCAATGGAACGGAGCGCTACTGATTTAAAGTTTTGACAAAATATCATACAATAGAAATGATGTAAAGTAAAATGATTATATTATTTTACATTCTGAAATAAAACAAAGGCGAGAAGTAACGAAGACCGGGGCGATGTTCACACTTATCGCCTCTTGTTCAATAGGTACATATTTATTTATCTACACACACAGAGCGGACGTACGCTAAATTTCTTTACTTAAAATTCAAGGATTCAGATATCATTACGCTCTAACGCAGGGCGCGTACTAAGCCTCAGTCAGTCTGTGCATTGAATTGGAACCCAAGAACCAAATATTTTTATAATTTATTGAATATCTAGAAAATATAATTTTGACTTTTCAAATTACGACGTAAATGTCCATTGTCCATAAGTCGCTAGACAGAATTGTTGAATTTTACTTGTTTATTTAACGGGTAATAATAATAAATGGAATTAAATGCTAACACCTTGCACTAGAAAATGAATCGGTGTATCCATCTAAAGGTCTTACAAAATATGACAAAAGCAGTAGCCAATTATTTTTTAAAAATGTAAGTAACGAATCTCAACCATAATTATCTCAAATTTATAATTTCAAGGTATAATAAGAGATATAAATATGCGAAGTTTTCATCAGTTATTAACATTAAAACAGAGCCGCAAAGTTAAATTACAGAGTATTCATGTTTTTCCATTTTTCTCTTTCTGTTAAATATCAAAGAAAGCTTTACCTTGTTTCAGTCAATACGTATTTTGAAAATAAAATCTAAATTTCGTAAATGGTAAAATTGTATTTACATATGTGATCATGTAATACTATTGTAAAATTGTAAAATCGGCACTCGGAAATTGAACTCTTCGCTTTTCAATAATCTACTCTATCCAATAAGCTATTGAAATTACGACATCCGTTTTTAGGGTGTCAAAAATCCTACTGTGCGACGCGACATGTATTTCAGACTATTACCTAATTGAACACATGAAATACAATCCGCCAATGCGCAAAAATCCTGCGCTCGTACGGAACGGCGACATAACCTTACTTATAAATAATTACACATCTTAAACGTAAAATAAACTCAATAATATACATAATTACATTATATATTCGAAAAAATATAACAAAATCGACAATCAACATCGCGATCGAGCACGGACGTTTTATTTACACACGAGAAACAGTCGAATTCCGCGTCGTCACGTTCGGAGCGTCGCGGGGAGGCGCTCGCGGCGGGCGAGGCACTACACGGACGCGCGTCACATCGGCGGGCGCTCCCAGTCGGCGGCTCCCCAGCGCGACCGCCGGTACAGCCGCTTCTTGAAGTGGTGCGGCGGGAAGTGCTGCAGCGCCGTGTCGCCGCGCGCGCCGCCCGCCGCCGCCGCCGCCACGGCCGCCGCCTCGCCGTGCCCGATGCCGGAGTCGGGCGACGTGTTGCACGCCTCGTCCGAGCGCCGCCGCTTGTCCTCGATCGCCGTCGACGCGAACGATATTATTTGATCAAAACGAAAAGCTATGCGATCTTGCCATTTACTTTCGTCTACTTCCTCGCAACCTTCTACTTCTGAAATTTTTACACGGTATAAAATTAGTGACGGTAACGCTGAGTGCCAAAAATGATACATCCAGGAATATTTTTAAGGTGCCAGAAAAAAATCAGCGCTTTCATTCATCGATCCTTGATCGCGTTCATCAAATAAAATAAAAACATAAAATGGTATTTATTTGTCAGAACTCGATCGTGTTTTTAAACAAAATTATGTCTAGCTTGCGTCTCATTAATGATAAAAATATTTTCGCAAACGTTTTGAACGTCCAAGCACTCCGCTCTCTCGCTTGGCGAGACGCCGGTAAATTTACGTTTCTAGCATTTGGTATGTCCATAATTTGGTATATAATTTTGTGAAACTTTAACTTGTGATAACGTCGTTACAAAGTAAAAATAATTTGACTGCACACTTTTAATTTGTCTCGCTTTATTAGCAGAAGCACGTCCTTTTTTGTAGTATTTAAAAGAATATTCTTTATACTTTTAATATTAGTATTAAAAGTATAAATGGCTGATGCGTTTGCCAGCATTTCAAATATTGAATACGAAAAGTAAAGAAAACAAACCAGGTATCCTTCCACCGTCCGGTGATTCATCGACCAGAGGGGTAGACGTGTTCGAATGAGGATCGGGCGGCGGAGACCGAGGACGGGAATCCTCCAGGTCGCCCGAAACGCTGCCGTTCGGAGTATTAGAACCTCCGTTGACGCCGTTCCGCCCGCGCCAGTACTCAGAAGCCAAAACACGGGCTTGTAAGCAAGCCGCTAGCCCTGTAAAAGTTATAAAATCAATCGTGCTGCGATCCGTCGGGAGACGAGGACACGTCTGAGGTCGGGGGAGTACCTTCTAGCGGTTGATGCGGGGCCGGCGTCCCGTTGGCGTCGTGATAGCGCGCGCTCATGTTGACGGCCGCGTTGATGATGCTCNTCCGCGCCAGTACTCAGAAGCCAAAACACGGGCTTGTAAGCAAGCCGCTAGCCCTGTAAAAGTTATAAAATCAATCGTGCTGCGATCCGTCGGGAGACGAGGACACGTCTGAGGTCGGGGGAGTACCTTCTAGCGGTTGATGCGGGGCCGGCGTCCCGTTGGCGTCGTGATAGCGCGCGCTCATGTTGACGGCCGCGTTGATGATGCTCTGGTTGGAGATCTCGAGGGTGCGCTCGATCTCGCCGTTGACGAGGTCGCCGATGGTGCGCGCCGGCGCCGCGAGCCGCTCCTGCGACAGGTGTCGCCGCAACGCCAGCTTAGCCGGGGAAACCTGAACCGCGCGCTACTCTTTACTCTGTACTTTTACCGCCTTGCCTCGCCATTTCCACCGTGACCGTTCCTAACTGCCGTTGTACAAACCGAAATACGCATTTCAAAAGTATTTCAAGTGTTTATTGATTATGTGGATTTACATGTGTTATGCAGAAGGGACACTCCCAATTGAAAATAAATATCGTTAAAAGAAAAAAGAAAAAACAATAATAAAAATAATATTTTAAAACAAGAATTATCCCTTAAACAAGCACATCAGTGAATGTAACATAAACATTTAGATTAAGAAAAAAGGGGATGGTATTCCAAATATTACGAATTAATGACATGCGGAGATATACTGTTAGGAGAACGTTACAACTGAATCTATGTCAATCTCTAAATTTTGGTCATCGTAAAGCAAAACGTGCATCTGAGAAATTAATATTTAAGTTGCAGAAAATCCAGAAAAAAAATAAAGAGATGATGTTGAAAATAACACAAAGTACATTTTTTTTCCATAAAATCATAAAATAAAAATAAAACGTATTTCTTTTGTTCCTAATCTTATCGTGTAGTTGTAGCGTTAACGTAATCCACTGATTTCTATTCAGTAAATTACAACAATGTTCAAACAAAGCCTCGATTTGCCTTGATCCTATGGAATCATAAAATTATACATATTTCAGATCCGTGTGATGGTTTAAAATAAATGAAGGGAACCTCTTAAATTTTATTATTAGATTTTTTTGTCTCAACTAATGTCAAGTGACGCTTTTTACACTCATTTTATAAATTTCTACATTCTTCACAAACGACTACAGATCGTGCAAACGCTAGTGAAAATACTCATTCACTGCTAATTAAACTGTTCGACTTTTTCTATTGAAAATATCATTTCTTCGCATGATGCAAATAATACAATTCATACAAGCACGTGCTATCAATTGTATTATTTGCTTACATCAATACTGAATGATACTCTCATGGACAGGGAAGGATTGTTGTTAAACCAGGATTCGAAACTCGAGGGTTTCTGATAGCTTCACCGAACTTGTCACGGCTCAGTTTGGTAGACATTGCTAACATCTGCCTTAGCAAGAGCAGTGCTTCGTTGAATCTACGACCGGATCAGAACCCACTGAGAAGATCCGGCGAGCAACTCAGTGGGTTGTGTCTGTGGGTAGAATAGCTTGTCCGAATTGTAGAGGGTATAAGGTAGTATAACATATAAGTATACATACAAGAACATATAAGTGCTTCGAGTGCGTGAGTACAGATATTTAATAAAATGGTGCACTTATTGCTATGCTATTATATGTTGACCTAAATGTTACGCTACTTTTATGTTAATAATAATAATCAAAAAATGCTTTACGAATCAACTCAACGGCAAGGTCGTATGGTAATATTATTTCCAGAATTAACTTTTTTTGGTTATTAATAAGTATCAATTGGTTCATTGTATTTTGAATAGGTAATTGTCACTTTATTTACTTGGATTGAAAAAAATTTGGTTTTCCTTATATATATTCGATTCGCATAATCGTAGCAAGATATAACATACTAACCAATAGTGTGATCCTAACATTTAAAAACAAATGTTTTATCAAGATTGATCTTTAAAGTGGGTACTGACATTTACATTTTGTCGTCTATAGAGACCAGCAATACTATATCGTAAGATACATCGTGAGCTGGTATCCATAGTAATTTTTTATTGAAATGCTCTAGTAAAAAAAAAACGTACGAACAGACCATCATAATCTATAAAATTAGTAATATCTTAATAACACATCACATTTTTTTTATCTATATCTTGAATCTACAGATAGAGTTCTATTAATTTTATAATAGTTTAGATTTGATGATATGCGGAATGCGAAAGATGACGTCAAGGCTCTCGGCATTAGTAAATATGAAATGAATGTGTATCGGTAGTGAAGTTACCTGCGTGTAGTCCGGCTGGTGGGGCTGGTGGGGGTGGTGGTGGCGCTCGAAGGGGAACCTCTCCCGGCGCAGGTCGCGGCGCGGCGGGAAGGCGGCGGTGGGTCGGCCCGTCACGTACCCGTTACTGTACGGACTGCTCGGTGTCACCTGCCGAGAAGCTTTCCTCTGTTCTTGGTCTTCGTTCAACACCGAAGTTATTATACTCTTCAGCCTGTCTTCGAAATTGATCACTTTCGGTGATTCTTGAACTTTACCGATAACGTTAAGTGGTTTCTGGGATTTTACAGGCGAATGCCTATGAGCGAGAGACGGGCGTTGCGTCTGGGGCCTAGGGTTCGGAGTGGTCGATTTTGGGTACCTGTCGAGTCGTTCGGATTCTCTCGTGTATCCGTTGACTATGACGTTAGGTTTGGTGACCTTTCCGGCTTCGATCTGTCGTCCCGTCTCGAGTATCTTCTGAGCAAGGAGTTCAGGGTTCTGCTCTTCTATTTTTCCAATATCCGGAACCTCGGGCCATTCTTGTGATCGCGAACGCTGTTCTCTCTTTCTCGGTTTCGCGTTAACCGCGTGCATCTTGACGGGAGTGACGGGAACGGAGGAAGTGGTCGGTTTCTGTTCGCTAGCCCTTTCCATCTGCGTGATTTCATTTTGTAAATGACCCACTTGAGCGTGTAATCTTTTCCTGTGGGCTAAAGTGGCCGAAATTTCTTTTAAAATACACTCTTGAGCTATGCTTTGAGTAACTTCAGCATCATGTGGTACGTGTCCGAGCTGCCGATACTTTTCAGTAATTTCAAACGTCCGTTGTTTTACTAGCACTGCCTGTTCAGCTTCTATACTATTCACCTGAACAATAAATTGACCACTTGTCAATGTGCCACCCTGACAACTTTACACTGGCATCATTGTTTAATTTCAAACATTGAGAAGAATAGCAATCTGTTTCAGAATACAGAAATAGTATGTTTAATAATTTAATGTAATCGCTCAAACGCCATTTACAATACTTAAATTATTTATCATAATGTTTACCTGGGCTTGTAATTTACTCGCTTTACTTTGCAGTTCTTTGTGTCTTCCGACGATTTCTTTCGCTTTCGCTAAGAGGTCAACGGTGTTGTTGGCGTGGATGCCAAGCTCGCTCATGCGGGCTTTGAGAAGTGCTACACTGTCACTTATTAAGACGTTAATTTGTTTGTCCAATTGAGATGCTCTCGATTTCAATTTATGATTTTTTTCCTATAACATAATAAAAATTATAAAAGGGGTGTCCTAATGTTACACTTTGGGTAAACATAAAGAAAAACATAAACAATTTTTTTTAAGTTGCAACTCATCGAAAAAATTGAATCATTGCATTATGATAATATTTTTATATAAATACGCAAAGGTACTCTCTCTAATTGATTACTACAAATCCGAAAGCACGATTATTTCATAGCAATGATAGCTTTCACTTCAATGGGCTTATAACTACTACTCATCCTCTAAATCGTTTTTATATTAGAAAATACACTAATGGATATCATTATACACGAACTTTGTTATAAAACTGCACAAATAATACTATTAAAACAATTGCGAATACAATTTCTTGAAGATTAAAAGATATGAGATACCTTTTCTTTCTCTATTTGGTTTCGTATTTCATTGGCGTATTCAGGCGTATTCATGCGCTGAATGAAAGCGAGGTACTGGTCCCGGAACATATCGAGCAGTAGCTGGAGGCTGTAGGGGGTGTGCGGCGAGCGCGGGATGTCGAGCTCGGAGTGCAGGCGCTCGGCGGGCTGCAGCTGCACGCCCAGCGCCGACAGCCGCTGCCCCACGCAGCCCGGCGGCGGGGCCGTCACCTGAAAACGGCCAAAATTCTTTATGTTTTCATAAGGCAAAGGATAAGACGTCCGGTGCATTCGTGTTGAGCGATGCACCGGTGTTCGAATCCCGCAGGCGGGTACCAATTTTTCTGATGAAATACGTACTCAACAAATATTCTCAATTGACTTCCAAGGTGAAGGAATAACATCGTATAATAAAAATTAAACGCGCAAATTTTAATTTGCGTAATTACTGGTGGTGGGATCTTTTGTAGGTTCGCGCGGGTAGGTACCACCGCCCCACCTATTTCTGCCGTGAAGCAGTGGTGCGTTTCGGTTTGAAGAGTGGGGCAGCCGTTGTAACTATACTGAGACCTTAGAACTTATATCTCAAGGTAGGTGGCGCATTGTTATAGATGTCTATGGGCTCCAGTAACCACTTAACACCAGGTGGGCTGTGAGCTCGTCCACCCAACTAAGGAATAAAAAATAAATAAATAAATCAACAAAAACAAAGGTGGCATGGTTCAAAACTTTAACAAACATTTGAATACAGCTTATTCTTTTTGTTTATAAAATACATCCAATTAACGACAGTTTTATTGCTGTCGAGTAAAAAGCAGTTTTTATGTCTGTTTTCCATTGAACACGATCTTTTCGAAATATCTACTGAATGTATGCTCTAGCTAATGGTAGAATGAGCGAAATTGATGATATTCGAACATAGAGTTGGAATGTTGAGAAATGTGTATGGCCGGAACTCACGGAGCCGTTGTGTATGGTGGACTCGAGCGTGGTGGAGTGCAGCAAGTCCAGGCCGGCGATGGCGGCGGGCGTGGTGCGGCGTCGCTTGGCGCGGGCCGCTCGCCGCCGCGCGCCTCCGCCCGACGCCACGCGCTTACTCGTCGCTCGACGGCTACGGTCTGTCAACGTCACACAGCACATATTCAATCCCATCCTAACGACACTTCGAAAGCATACAGATACAACTTACTAACAAATTATTTTATATTTTTGAACTGTGGCATTCGATTTTGATATCATTCAATGGTGTTTTTTTTTATTGCTTAGTTGGGTGGACGAGCTCACAGCCCACCTGGTGTTAATTGGTTATTGGAGCCCATAGACATCTACAACGTAAATGCGCCACCCACCTTTAAAATTATGATAATATGAAATATGATGATGATAATCTATATATTAATACGTGAAGCAAAAACTTTGTATCCCTTTTTACGAAAATTGCGCGGACGGAGGAGTATGAAATTTTCCACACTTATAGAGAATATAGAGAAGTGCATAATGCTAATATTTTTTTAAATAATACATAATAGATACAATAAATCAATAAAGAAAACATTATACACACTACCATGTATTTGACGCAGACACGCATGCATACTATTTATTTATTGTTAAACTCGTTCTTGACGTCTGTGGTTAAATTGAGAATAGATTAAATATTGTTTGTCTTTATTAATATTTTTCTATAGTGTAATCTTGGCGAAATTTGTGATTATAGAAGTGTAATAGTCTTTGAAAATAGAATCATAATAGTGTACAAACTTATAATTTCAATTAATTATAGTCGAATTTCGACTACCGGGCGACCACTAGTATGAAATAATTAATGACGATAATATGAAAAATAATATGTTAAACTTGTAGATACTGTGTACCAGATAGACAATGAAAACGCTACTAAGAGAAAAGGCACCGAGATGTATGTTAAAGCAGCGATGTGATTAAATGACTATCATTATAAAACTGACTGGAGTCGGATGATGAGGCCCAAGGAGCGCCCCACTCCCTGGGCGCAGGTTCTGGTCCAGGCGGTGCGTCGTCTGTGCCGCTAGACTCCTCGTCGCTCTCGTCACTAGAGCGCCGTGCCACGCGTCTCTTGGCGGCCGCAGCACGACGTGTGCGCCCATTGTCACCCCTGAAGCAATTTTTAAAATTATGATGTTATTTTCTTTTTGATGACCAAATTTTTGGTGATAAATAATTAACAATAACATAAAATTGATAGAATTACTTATAGGCGCCAGACTTCGTCAGCGATCCAGTTTGGATTAATTGGAGATAAAGATCGCGCAGCGCCTTACAGTAACCTAGCGCGCCGCTGAATTCATATTATGAATCGTTTGGCGGTGTTTCGCACTCTACTCAGCAAGCTAGTTCTGGTCAACCGAGTACAGACACCAGCGACGCAGTCTGTTCTACAGATGTAATCTCTTTCGCTGACGATTCCGTCGGTTAGACCTAGAATTGATCACGCAACCGATTGCAATAGACCGCGGGTCCGCTGCCCTCTCTCCTGACTTAAATCCGCACGGAGCTCGGATGTACGGATGAAGAGTGCAAAAGAGTCGTCTAATATGTGACTTAACTGAAATCCCGCATACCTACGCTAAATTTCTTACCATTCGCGCAAGAAAATAATCTTCAGCGCTCTTGCCAAAAAAACTTTTGCAAGCTAATACGGGTTAATATCAACATCGTGTCTATCACTACTGGCTTGAAGAGTGCGATATTATTATCCATTTTACAATAATTTCATGATTTGATGTCTACACGCTCTGGCAACCGCTTCAAAAAAAACTTATTTTGCTTCTAATACTCAGCACCAACCGGTACAGCGTGAGGCAACTGTTTTACATCAAGTGGGCCATAAAACCCATATTAGCTAATCATTTTCTTGTCCGAAAGTATCACCTGACAGTCCTAGGGCGTGCTACCTTCCGTCTGCGCTCTGGCAGTGAGCCCGTGCTGTGATTGCTGTTGCCGTTGAGTAGATCAGGCGTAGACTGTCTTGTTGGAGGGGCACTGAGGTTTCGTTTACCGCTTCCTTCTCCATCTTCACACCCGTTATGTGAACCCTATAGTCAATACAGTCAAAGAACTATTTATTGATAGCTTCTATTGGTTTAACTTATTTACATCTTTATTTGTATCAATTATTCTCCTCATCCTCAAGTAACTTACGGATCATTTGGCATCTTTTTTTTTTTTTTTTATTGCCTTTGTAGGCAGACGGGCATACGGCCCGAGTGGTTACCGTCGCCCATGGACTTCAGCAATGCCAGGGGCAGAGCCAAGCCGCTGCCTACCTGAATCTATAGATCAGCTTTTATACTCCCTGTGTAAGGTAGTTTAGGAAGATTCGGTTATGTTTTGGAATCACTAAGCTCATCGAGGGTAACGCACGCCGAAGATAATTTTAGGCATGTACCGAACCATCCAGCTCTGAAATTATGTTTCTCGAATGCTATGACACGTCTTTCTTCAAACGAAGTATGAACAGTCCCGAGGAGTGCGCAGCTGCTTCGCTGTGCCTCTGGCGTTACTCGTGTCCATGAGCGACGGTGACCATCGGGTAGAACCAGGTTTCTTTTGAGGTCAGTGTCAATTGTATTGTGTAACGGTTATCCCGGGGAACGGTAACAGGACTATCAAATAGTAACTGTCAGTTTAGTAAGTGCGGTCTTCCATTATGTTCCATAGTCTTAACCCGCTATGTAAATCGCAGACAGGTGGTGGGCGTGTATCGCGCCTTCCCGCCATTTTTTTATACTACATGTCATGCAATTATTTATAAAAAATTTAAACTTCTTCACGCCATCAAACTCAGAAACAGTATCAATAAAGTTATATACAGGATGAATTTTGTAAGTACGCTTCGTAGGCGTCAAGAATCTATAAATAACAGCGAAAAGTACTAAAAGGAATCACAGAACAAAATTCACCCTGTAGAATTGATAGTATATAAATTTATAGAAAAATACGTGACTGGAACAGACCCTTTTGCTGACCTTGAGTTTCGGATTTTTCAGTCTTTGAAAATATCTCTCCAATTTGGTCCTATCTATTATATGCAAATAATATGATACTGGTTTCCCCGTCCAAGAAACGGAGCCTTTCAGTGGCGTCATCTCGCTTACGTGCATAATGGTTCCAATATCACTCAGATTCCTGTCCGTTATTCGAAAATTTAATGGACAAAAGCTTTTTGATGACACTATTTTCGCACCATCTTTTAAATCTGCAAATCTTTCTTTTAGCTGGTGATCAACGTGTGGTCCAAATGCAAAGTTATTGACAAAAACAATTGTAGCAGCATTTATTTTTTCCCGATGCTCATCCAACAAAAAGTCGCCTTTTATTAATTTATACTCTCCATACTTTTTGCCATACCATTTCATCCACATCCTAAAATGCAAATCCATGTTCTGAAATACAATTTCTTATTTTATTTTTGTGTTCTATTTTTTTGACCAATTATCGATGGTCGAAATATCTTAATATGTACATAATTGAAATAATGTATTACCTCAGCATATTTACTAGGAACTTCTGCCTTTTCAACACCGAGGCAGATGCGACACGGTGTTGCAGCTGCCATTTGTAGTACAACCTGTCCCACACCTGAGCCCAAGTCCACAAATACATCGTCAGCTGATATTTCTATTTGATCTATCATTTGACAAACTAACTCGTAAGAAGTCTCACCGTACACCTGTTGTACAACAAAAACAAACAACACTTTCAAATTACCATTTTCAAAGAACAAAAGCTTCATTTTAGGATTATATTATGTAAAATGGCGCTTTATATTTTTTTGACGCAGACTACTACGTACCTCGGGAGAAAAGGGTTCGTATTGATTTAATTTTTCGGGATCCGCTACGGCTTGATTGTAGGTTTGTTGTAATATGTGCTTCAGTAAGCCTCTTGAAGGATACTTGTTTAACCGTTGTGCTGGTAAGGACGTACCTTTTTCCTGAAATTTTAATAATAAATTCTCAATAATTAACTGCGAATCTTCTTTGACATAACTAAAAGTAGTTTGGTAGGCAGCGGCTTGGCTCTGCCCCTGGTTTTGCAGAAGTCAATGGGCGACGGTAACCGCTGACCATCAGGTGGACCGTATGCTCGTCTGCCTACAAAGACAATAAATAAAATAAAAAAATAACAAAAAATCATAAANTTCCTGAAATTTTAATAATAAATTCTCAATAATTAACTGCGAATCTTCTTTGACATAACTAAAAGTAGTTTGGTAGGCAGCGGCTTGGCTCTGCCCCTGGTTTTGCAGAAGTCAATGGGCGACGGTAACCGCTGACCATCAGGTGGACCGTATGCTCGTCTGCCTACAAAGACAATAAATAAAATAAAAAAATAACAAAAAGTCATAAAATAACCTAATTTTGCTAGTGAACATTTTAAAATAAACTACAATTTTTTTCTTTTAATATTATGTTATGTTTGTATAAAATTAAAAATTAAAATTATTATGATAAATTGAAGGAAGCTAATTGAAGTGAATATCTCATTTTCATGTTCATGTTTCATAACATTCATGTTTCTTTTTTTTTGGCATTCGTCAGTAAATATGAGTTATGCAAAAAATCTTTTAATCTAGAAACCTCGAAAACTAAGAGTAATTTTCCAATACGAGTACCGCCGTGGTTATGACACATCATAAACCAATCGCAACATCAATACTGCATTTACAGGATAAGATCGACAAAAGAACTGTGCGATTTTTATTTAATGTTTTCTTTTTCGATACTCCTATTTGAATAATGTACCATGAGGAATACCAGGCGCAGGGCAAGGCAAATAACGGTTATGACTACGTTACTTTCCTCTAACAGAAAAAGTTACCAAAGATGTATGGCCTCTGTTAAATGTTTCCTGACCTCACGATGGATTGTGATTGAAGACAGATTAAATACTAGAACAATTTATCAGAATGTAAACAAACCTCACCCAGACCCAGTCTCTCTCAAAGTATGATTGGGAGAAGCGGTCGAAACTTTTGTCTAGGGTGGGGAGTACTCGGGGCGAGTCGCTGAGAGGGATGAATTAATCAATCTATGTATTAACGAGTAATATGCCCAATGAATACATATCGAATGATGCAACTGTGCTGTGTTTCAAATAATACAGGCTACTACCAACGCCAGGATTCATACTGCTCGTTTAATACATTACCGTCCGTACGTCTCGTAAAAATTTATTAGGTTGTCGCCGGCAATTCTTGATATTATCGGGACATTATAAATTGTTAAGTTTTACTAATCTCACCATTAGTTTTCAAATTTATCAACGCTGTTCCCCTACTTTCATAACATTTTGAAGATATATATGAAGATATTTTTTGAAGGTATATATGTTTATTTATTTTTTATTTATTGCACAGTTGGGTGGACGAGCTCACAGTCCACCTGGTGTTAAGTGATTACCGGAGCCCAGATACATCTACAACGTAAATGCCGCCACCCACCTTGAGATACGAGTTCTAAGGTCTCAGTATAGTTACAACGGCTGCCCCACCCTTCGAACCGAAACACATTACTGCGTTACGCTAGAAATGGGCAGGGGGTGGTACCTACCGGTGTGGACTCATAAGACGCCCTTCCACCAATAATTACGCAAATTATAATTTTGCAGGTTTGATTTTTTATTACACGATGTTATTCCTTCACCGTGGAAGTCAATCGTCAACATTTGTTAAGTACATATTTCATTAGAAAAATTGGTATATTGTGGGTAACAATTTTTTCGAACACCGTTGCATCGCTCGACACGAATGCCGGCCGTTGGCCAGTATTTTGCGCACACCACTGTTGTGTGGACGCTGTGACCACTTTTATATCTTTTGCATTTTTTAGGCAACACTAAGTTACATACGTCAACAAGTATATTTTTATAAGTACATCATGACAGACGAAAGAGACGGTACGATTATTTACGATGAATGCACGGACGTCTTAACTGACGTTCCGGACGATTAGAAGACATTAGATATCAAAAAGTGAATCAGAATCGTCGGAAGATAATCAAATATTTAGAAAAAGAATTCGGCGAACGCTACGGTTTCCACCTGATTTCGATGAATGAGACGAAGGAGACAGTGCACCGTTGTCAGACTTTGATTTAACTAGGACCAATAATAAATTTAAAGTATGTCCGGGTCCAAACATATTTCCCAAAGATACACAGAGTCGCGGATATCGTAGAATTATATAATGGGAACTATCTATTTGAAATTTTTAGCAATTAAACCAACAAGTACCACGGTCAAAATTGCAATAGAAGGAAACTGGATAAAAAAATGCCAAATTAGAGACGTTACGGCCCCCGAATTTAGAAAATGATTTGGGGTCGTTATCCCTATGGGTATTGTAAAAAAACCAAGGCTCGATGATTATTGGTCAACGAATCCAATAATAGACACAACATTATTTAAATTTTACGGCTTACAATGCATCGAAAATTATGAATATAGCATACTCATTCGGACGCTGTAGGATTCGTTTACGGGATAGGTACATTTCCTCATTCAAGATATTATATTCCGCTATTTTCCGTAAGACACCCCTGTGGTGTCGCCGGACGGCAAAGCGTTAACAATACAAGATCAATAGTTAGAATTAATACGGCATCGTCCATTATACCCCCTCATTGCTGTAACCAATTACTATTTTTCCTTACAAGAAAATAATGTTCTAAAGTTTTACTTAGTTGTGTTACAAATAGTTTACTTTTTTTTATAATCCACGTCCGTTTTTACTCAGTTATCGATTGAAGCACGCACTGTCTTCATGGAAAAGTTTACCACTGATTATTTGGTTCAATGCCTAATCATGGCTAAGAACTAGGAATTATCATGGCGTTTTGGTCATAGCAAACTATATGAAAGAGACCATAAATCATAATCAAGTGGATTGGAATCGAGACTAGACGATGGTCAGTCTTCAGGTGTGATGAACTCAGAAACTTCCTTTTCAGCCACGCTTGTGTGAATTTAACTTTATGACCCAATGCTGACTTGTTGATAGGATTATTCTAGATTATGGAACATGACGTTGTTGATAGTCTTAACCACTTTTTCAAGTATCGCAGCTTAATACACCTGGGCATCATGGGCACGCTAATATTTTTCTGTCACAAACAGAGGACGTAATCTATATCTATCAATAGTTCGATGCACATACATTCCATTATTTTAAAAGCAAAAGAAGTATTTAAAGAATGCTTTTGACTCCATGCCAACTTTGTGTAATGTACAGCAATTCGATTCGCTTTATCACTTATCTTCGTTTTAATATCACAAAATTATTTCAACAACGATTGACACGAGAATGAGTAAGTCCAGTGAATATTCAGTGTAAGAGTGACATATTTCAAATTCAAAGGCATAGTATTAATGTTAGTTTTTAAATATTGTATTTCAGGACAGATTGTGTACCTTGTGTTATCCAGTTCTATCATAAAATATTCTATCTCAACGATGAGATCGAAGAAATATGTAGTAGAATAAACTTGGATTTAATTAATACCTTTTTTTTAAAATAATATATTTGGAAATTTCAACTACAAACGGCAATTTCATCCCTTAAAATGCCCCTAATTATTTGTTCTTAATATTTGTGTACACAATTTTAAAGGATGGAGGCCAACTGGTTCGTAATTTTCGCCTCAATATACATTTAAAATTAAATACAGGTTATTTTGTATTAAGCAGCCTTGACATTGCGAATATGGTGAATTGACCGATCGATACGAGCTCCGCGTCATTTAAGAGCAATGTCGTTGGCCTTGAGTGCGGACAAGGTTCAAGGTTTGATAAATGTAACAAGTTATGCGTACATACAATACCTACCTTTAAAAATAAAATAATCGCAGCGGTCATTAGCCTAGCCTCGCTCATGTTGATAGATTATTAACTCAGTCGTCATACGTGTTTTTGTTAGATCACGTTTTATGCCGCATGATAAGTCCAATTCATTTGTACCTAGTTATTTCCGAGTTTAGAACTATCTGTAATTGACATTACATCGTAAATTATGGGCATTTTAAAGTATGGAGAGCTAAAACACGTTCACTTGCTATGTTTTTTTTTCAATGAAAATCTATAAATAAAAACCATTCTGCTTCTCCTTTTTTTGTTAATCTGTTTTTTATATCGAAAACAGTTATTGGGTCAAAACAGTATAAAGTACGAAGTACAAGTGTGGAAATGGTGACCTGTAGTCAACTAGTTACGCAATCGCTCGTCCAAACAGAAAGCACGTCTTTGAAACGTTGCGTCATCCGATAGCCACTTTAGTGAAAATTAGAGAGCGGACCCAAGTATTTAACTTTGATTATTGCATCTTAGCTTTATCTTTAAATTTAAAGAAAATAAAAAAATAAAAAAATGTTGGACCCCTACAAAGTAGATATGGCTTGTTTATTTTATGAAAAAAAAAATTTATTTGATTATTTAATAACAAATAATTTGATAAAATCTATTTCTATTTAAATAAAAAAAAAAAATCAATGAATTCATCATTAATTTCGAACGACGCTGGCGCAGCCAAAAAAAAGAGGTCGTTAACATTACGAGACATTCGCATTTGCTTAGTGCTACGGTCATCGCCCCCCACAAATGGTCTACGCCGAAACATAATATAAAGCGCTAACGACATTTTCAGCCACGATTTTATAATTTTACAACTAATAAATATCGTGTAACATTAATAAAAATGACAAATTTGGTTAATAGAGTAATTTTAATATATGTTACGTATTATCTAGAGATTGAAAACTTTATACTTTTTTAGTCCCTTTAAGCTTTTTTTTTACTTATACAGCCACAATACACAAATTTTGTTGAAATTTAAATCTAGACGTGATTAGAATGCCTGTGTGGGTTAATCTGTCTATTCTACATATTTTACAGGCAGGAAGACACGAGCTCACGAATCACTTGGCTTTAAGCATATAGAGAAGCAGATTGTTAGCATAACAAGAATGATGATAAGAAGCACCTTTGGATTTGAGGGTGAAGACTCAGTTTCATTGGAATCTATTTATTCCAGCAATTGTTCTACCATTAAATCATGGTTTGGTTCGCAAGACAAAGAGCCTTGATGGTCGGAGTTACGTGGTACCGAATTATGAAGGTTTGGAGCAAAAGATACCGCTGGAAGGATTTATTTAGGGCACTGAATGCTTACGACCTACCTGGTTCTGTGTGGATACCGTAGTTTTGTTTACCTTTATGCTGTAGTTAGAAAATAATTTCATAAATTGGAGGAAACTCATTCGAAATATTGTGTCTAGAAGACATTATTCTACACTTGTCTTCAGTTGGGACAAAATTGTAGTTGATTGGTTTTAGTCACTAAATTCCTAAGTACAGACTGCAATGAACGTTTAACATAGCCGGTTAAATTGACCAAAGGCTTATGGAGAGTATGGGGTACATACAATGTGGAAAATCGGGTCTGAAGTTGTGTGAATGAATGAAGCTAGTAGCTCCTACGACATCAATTATCGGAGATCATGGACCTCTTCTGTATGGAGTCAGTTAGAATTATCTTTTAGCGGATTTCTATGGATTCAAATAAAAGTTTTGGGAAAGCAGACAGACTCAGACGTATGAGAGCAGTTTTCCATTTTGGATCGAAACTGTACTTCCAAGTCAAATCTACATCCAAGCGGAAAGTCCCCTTTCGTTTTATTGAGAGCTCTCAAATTTACAACAGTCAAGCTAGTTTTACTATCCCAGGTGTTCGATACTGAATACCGCTGAAATCTACTTAAGAAATTCCCAAGACTACTGTACTCAATGGATACTTTTTGTCAATAAGTTGAATTAAAAACATCCAAATAATAATTGGAAGTGGGGGGCCTTTGGCCGGGTGACCGGCAAGAAATGGAGGAGGAGATTCTAAGGCCGGGCCCTATCGTGTGTTTTGGGGGAGGCCTATGTCCAGCAGTGGAACACAGTGGACTGATGATGATTAAATAATAATCCAATAACAAAATTGAAAAATAATAATGGTTCTCTATTTCCGACACAAGCTTCATTTGTCCTACAGAATAAGTATCCGAAATAAACTGTATTAGCCGGTATATTGGACATATGATGTGCTATAATCCGCACAGCAATGCGGGATGCATCACTTCAATAGATAATATGGAATATCATGAATATGGAAGATAAAAGGCATGGTAAACACATAATCTTGTGCATCGTCAGCGTCAGGTCATGGTATCGGAAAAGTAGCTAGAGATCCCTAAGTAATTTCGTAAGCAGGTAACTTCGACAGAAATATTCCATGCCAGAAGGTATTCTTGAAATCAAGACCCAAGGTAATAAATACTTATAGCCCTTGCTCTGCAAAACGTTAGCTCATAATATGTAAAGGACGTCACTATCTACGGTCACAATCTAAAAAAACCCTAACACAGAAACCAAGCTGACGGTATCTGTTCAACAGGCGATATTCAATATATTCTGGGTATTAAAAACTATTAATGACATATTAATCACGTTCTATCACTGACTCTATACGAGAAAAGCTATAGGGTGGTATCTTCTCTGTTATTCTATATCATACTAATTGCATCCAGTGTATTAATGTCAATATTATTACTTTGTTAGTATGCCGATCATGACATGACTCTATTCCGGAACAAACTAAACAATGTCCTTTGTACTTTTTACGACATATACAATGACAATGATGATGATAATATATAATGATATATAATAAATATAGTAGCAAACCCATCTATATATAATATATAAGTATATTTAAATGTAAGTGTCATTATATACCCTACATGGCCGTATAGTAGGCCGTTAGAAACGCAAACGTTGTACATACTTATAATAATTACTTAATATTCTGATAACTACGTAAATTACAGATGCAAATCTTTAAGAAAACATCACTCAACAATTTGAAAGTGAGAAGTGAAAACTACGTATTTTAAAATTGTTTAAGCTACAAAAATTTTGTTTGATGATATTTGAAAATGTTTTATACTTTTTATTACAGTTACAAGTGTGTGAGCACGATGGTCACCAGTGTGTCGTGGAAAACGATTATCGTGTCGTATTTTTACATCAGGATCATCTCTACCCAATGTCGACATTAACCTTGAGATGGAAATTACAGGAATGAACTACTAAACTGAGATTTGCACCATAACAAAATTTGCATAGCTCAATGTGAGTAGACGAGGGTTCCTTATTTTTTTGCCACAGACACTCCCTCATTTATAATGCCTTATTTTATAAAAGTAAAATATTATTTCCTAAATTACACATATCCGTGACGACACCGACGTCCCCACGATGTACATTTAGTAAAGACGCAACGAGGACGCAACGGTCGATGTTCGTAGACGCCACACGAGGTCGACTCTATTAATATACTTACATACCACTGCACTGGTATTATAGAAATGCTTCGTACTCAAACTTCCTGAGCCATTATTGTATTTTCTTTATATTCGAGTCACTTTGCTAATATAGCCGCCTCTTTCAAGACTTTTTTACCAACTATAATTCAAAACCAAACCTTTTATTAAGCAAATTAGCTCAATAGGTCTGAAATTCTTAATTTCAATTGTCGAAAGGGAAAAGGCGGAACTTTTATAAAATTATTTTGTTGTCCGTCAAGATACCAAGTTGAAATTAGTACCCAACATTAAACGAACGGAAATCCTAAAAATCCTCAACATAACATAATCAATTAATATCTATAATATATTGTGAAAAACATCTTGGACAACGATTATCCGAACCAAGATGTCTATAAGCTCTTATCTTTGCCATAAAAGCAATTGTAGGATTCGTGCGGGCCCTGTTTAGAGATGAAAAGGGACAGGGGAATGAACATCAATAAACATCATAAAATCCAAAGCGTGTCGATTGAGATGATGATAATGAATTTCAAATTCGTTTTAGTAAGCGCCATCAAAATGTGGCATCCTCATCATTATCAGCCTGTATCTCTCCACTACTGTATGTAGGCCACTCCCATAGTCCGCCATAATGTACGATCCGCCTTCCGCATCCAATCTCTTTCCGCATATTGCCGCAAGTCATTGGTCCACCGGGCATCGGGACGCCCAACGCTGCGCTTACCGGTACGTGATCTCCAGAACGCGTCTGCCCCATCAGCAAAAGGTTCTGGGACACGTATGTCTGGCCCAATTGCCACTTCATCTTGCTAGTCTTTAGGGCTATATCGGTAACTTTGATACTTCCGATGGATTTCCTCATACGATTCGATCCATCAGAAACTACGACCATACCCCTTTTCAAAGCATGTTCAGTGACTTTGAACTTACGGACCAGACCTACGGTCAATGATCACGTTTCAGTGCCAAATTTCATGACCGGTAGCAAGCGTTAAAGACTTTTGTCTTTAAGAATGGTATGTAATGGCTGGTAGAATCAGTGCGACGTAAAGCGTGATCAAAATAAACTTTCAACAACCGATCAAGCAGAACTTAAATTTTAATTAATTTGAAATTAATGCTAGTGGCACCGTTAGCTGTTACATTATCGACCTCTCGATTTAAAATAATTGAAATGTTACTGCGGCAAATATTTCATAAAATCAAAATCTTTTCAAGTTGACACATATGGATACTCTTAACTATTCACACTATTCACAATTCACAGACCAGTGACTTATCAAAATTGTTAATTTATTCTCCGGATTACGGGGCCGATGCCGTAATTATATTAAAACTAGAATTCGATACTAAAATAAATTACTCGGCTAAAGAGGAAATGCGGGTGTCGTTAAATTTTGACCAAAAGTTTCTTGAATGGAGTAAGAGAAATAATCGTATCTCGGACAAAACACTGCAAAAATGTTGCAATATATGTACATTTCGTAGCCCCCTTTCCCTTGACCGATTCTGATATTGCAAATAAAATTCATTTGTTTTATTTTAGTTTTATATCATGTTTGCTGGCCAAAAAATGGTTTTCGAATGTTCCTAGCAATTGAAATATTTAAATTATATAGTAAAGAGACACGACAGAGTGAGCTATAAATCCTATGGGTTAAAAATGTTTGTTCTACTATCATTTTCCCGGAAGAAAATAACAGTATGCGTTGTATAGACTGCTGCGTTTACTCTTTATCGTTTTTTTTATATGACTAATATTGCATAAGTAATTTATTTAATGTATACTCACCAAAGCAACTACAGAATCGATGGCTCGGTTGAAACGGTCGCAAAGGGCTCGCATACTTTCGTATGAATGAGTATCGTAATCGCAAAGTATGTTGTACTCCAAAGCGGCCTTCATCTCGGGTAAATCGTCGCAAACCCATCTAAAACAAAATAAAGCAATTTCAACATTTTGTTTACATGTTTGAAATCATTACTAAAATTAATTATTTCATTATATTTTATTGTAAAGCAAATATCGATACATAAATAGAAGCTCAGAAATCAGTTGATAAAATGCTATACAACCCAGCAAGGTCAACGCCATATTGACCTACAGACTCAGGCGAACAGTGTGTATGCGTACGTACGTACGAAACGTTGCCTCTGATACCGGTCCTTATATCATATTTACAATTTTATTTATGTTTAAACATTCTAATTGAAGTAAATGGTCCACGATTCAAAAACATTCATGTCTTCGGGAGTATTTGACATACGTATATTAAATATGGTACATTTTAAAATAGTCGTAATAATTATAACGGTTAATGTTATATCTATCTCCTGAGAGTGCGTCATGTTATATTGTGATCCTACTTTTTTTTAAATATCGGTTAGGTCTCCTAACTAAAATTCTGGTTTGGTTTCAACAAAGTATTACAACATATTTAGCTGATCACCTAAAGATATCTTTCAGCGACATTTAATCCACTTTAGCTAACTCACAGACTGAGCTGAATATCCGGTTCAATTTTGACGTTGTTTTTTCACCATGGATGAAAAGTTTGTTCATCGTTTCGATCTCGAGACAAAGCATGTCATGGAGACGATCATCCTCTCCGCTCTTGAAGAAATTTCGATTTGCTCCTGCCACTGGCAAAGTTATAGCTCAGATGAAGTTGAAGGTGAAGGTAACCTTTTTGTTGCTTGCATGCCGAAAAGACAGGCCATTATTTATACAGATGTAATCCCAAAAGTACGTAAAGCTATTAAAGAAAAACGTTGTTGAACCCTTTTTTTTGTAAGAGCAATATCGAAGTTAGAAAAGCTGTATTCTTATGAATCGTAAGTGGAAAAATAAAATGTTTCTGCTTGAGTTGGTATTATTAATGATTTCAATAAATTTGATACATGTTTTATATTGTACTATGTTGTAAAAGTAAAATACTATTCTGTTTATGAAATGCAGTTTCTCAATTGCAATCCATCAGGTTCCTCATACCCAAAAAAAAGGTGTTTCATTTTTTCTCGAAGTTAAATAAAAAAACATGGACAAATTAAGTTTTTTTCTTTTATGAGCCAGATGAGTCGTAAATATTATAAATTAGTCCAATAAAACACCTAAAGCCACACCACTTTAATGTCATTTCTCCTTTGAAGCAACGGTGTGCAAGTCGAACTTCAACTAAAACCTCTCATCATTCGTCAATCAAGGAGCCAATCTTCATCGAGATAGAACCCGAATTGAACAACAGAAGATGACAATTGGAACGCCGTCTTACACCGTTGGTACTTTTATTTTTATTTTTTTATTAACCTTGAAAACATTTACACATAACAGTTTTAATTTTTTTACTTTCCGTAGTAATTTCACCATCTCGTCTGTGGTTGTTACTGTATCGACCTGCCTTATTCCGTAGCAAAACAAGGACAGACTGTGATGTGAGGGTTGAAATGGCTGTTATTCTAAAGAAAATTAGATATCCTAATTCAGTCGCTGAAATACGTTTATGATAGGCCGGGGATAGTATTGAGGGAGTGTAACATCGAAGTGACGTTTAATTTACAATACGAAATGTTTATTTGCAATGCCAACGAATAAATTATCATAATAAAATAATAAATCATGTCATCCTAAAATAAATGTTATAATATAATAATAATTATAATAAGTTTTGTTTTTAATTCAATTATTTAAGAATTATATTAATAGTTTTTAATTCTCAAAACTCTAACCCAAACTACGCTCTTACAAGGCTAGGTCAGTGCTTATTTTTATAGTAATGTGCCAAAAATAGCAGGGCAATGGTAACATTATCTGTCGTGTTAATTTAAAATAGGTAATTTTTTTTCTAATACTTAACAACAATAAAATGTACTAATAAAGTTAACATTTTATCATTATAAAACTGGACCAAAACGAAACGCGTGAGGTAAGTAGCGCAATTGTGACTAGCTATTTTTGTATTTATGGTAAAGTGGTAGCCCCAAATGGCGAGTCGGACCGCCATTTTGTTAGGCTAAATCAGTCGGCTGTTGTCATTTTGTGCGCATAGACTACGGTTCTACAGTGTTTCCCGTTTTGTTTTTTCTTGTGACCCAATGTAAGCAAACATTGGATATTTCTTTTTGTTATGCTAAGATTCGCTCTAACTTAAGACTTTGATTATATTGTTTTACATACGCTGGATGCATAATAATGCCCAAAAGTAAATAAGGATTGAAAGGTGAAACCCGCGAGCTAATCGCTAAGCTGCTTTAAGCTACGTGCTTTGAACATAAAAGGCCAAAGGCTGGACCCTTGGTACCTGTCGAACGAGTACAAGAGCGGTTTTCCCAGGTGCTTGGAGTTAGCAATCTAATAACCACAAATATTAATAAATAAAATTTCTATAGAACTGGTATGTGAGGGAACATTTACACTTTACGCAAAAAAGTTAAAGATTTTCAAATTTAAAAAAGAGACAGATGGAATTTTTAGAATTTTAAACCGAATAATATTTTAAGGGAAGCGCGAAAAACACACTTTCACACGCTTTCTTGTTCTTGGGCGGGTAATACAAAAAGGTCGACATTGTAAGTTTCAATAAGTAAAGGGGCTTAAGAAATGACGGTTTTACAAAATACGATATAGAGAAAGTCTTATTGAGAGTTCAGTCAAAAACCACTATTGACCTTCACGAAGAAAAACATGCCCCTACATTTAAAGAGTAGAACCTAATCAAATCAATAGAAAACAAAATAAATTGGTGGCTAAAAATAAACGGCAATGACGTAAAAAGCAGAACTAATTAATTAACTTAAAAGCATTAAAACGATAAAACTGCGTTAAGAAACTTAAATATGGAAGAGGAATTAAAAACGGTCATCGCATTCTTGGAATACATCCTCATCATCCATACTAATATTATAAATGCGAAAGTAACTCTGTCTGTCTGTCTGTTCCTCTTTCACGCCTAAACGGCTGAACGGATTTTGATGAAATTTGGTATGGTGATAGATGATAACCTAGAAATGGTCATAGGCTATAAATAATCACGCCATCGTTCTTAGGGGGTAGGCAGTAGGCAGATAACTAAATTGAGTTAGTGATNGTAAAAAGGTTTGCTTTATCGAAGTTTTTATAAAAAATTGTCTTACGTTGTAGTTTTTAAAACTACCGATTTTAAAAATCTTTAATTATTGTTTTATTGTTTTCGATATGCCACGCAAACGTAAATCCAATCTAAGCCGTAGTTCTAGCAGAGCTCGAACTGCAAAACAAAAAAACTTATGCGGACGAAGTCGCGGGTAAAAGCTAGTAGCTAATATAATGCAATTGAGCTACTCCAGGCTCAAGTTAAAGATGCCACAATACTTAAGAATTATGCTATATCAAAACCCGCCGGAATGTCACAAAGAATATCTAAGTAAAGGTCGCCCAATAATGAAAAAAATCTTATTTTGATAATAATTATTTATAATTATAAATGTAGGTGACGATAATGAAGAAGGCTGTAAGCACCTCGTCAAGCGTATCAGAATATTAAATTTGTTTTCTTGCCAGTCGCCAATTTTATCTTCAAGATGTTGTTGTTTGTACATATCTGTTTAGTAAAGTGAATGTTTGTGTGTTTGTCTAACATGTCCTAAACCATTCATCCTATTATGATGAAACATATTGGTGATGGCGCTTGTCTGAATATTATTATGGTAGTTTTAATTCCCTTATAAATTTATTTATTTATTTGTAAGTAATGGTCTTAATAATTAGTCATAAAAAATATTGAAAAAGATGTACGAACTTAGTTATTAAAATATTTACTTAGAGGTTTTTACGGCTTAAAATTTTGAAAATTAGCTAACTTTTAAAAGCCAATAGGGTTTTTATTCCACAAGCGGCGGCCTTTCCCTTTGAAGGTCAGGGGGCAACCCTCGAGTCGAGGCCGCGCAGCACGCTACCAGCACTCTAGCGCGCCGCCCAGGAGTAATAACACCATGAGAGCGATCACCCGACGATGTATCGCACCCCGACCCGACAGGCTAGTTCTGATCCAACGAGATATTGCGCGACAACAGCGGCATCACCTGGGCGATCTGGCGGGCTGCCGTACCGAGACAGCCCAAGACTAGAGCCTTCAATTCGACTCGAAGGCGCCGTAGACCGTGCATCCATGAGGTGAGCCGCGCATCTGGTTACGGTTTTCAGCGTTGTAAGCCCCTTACTCCGCTCGGGCTTGGACATTGGCGAGATCGGACGCTTGGGCAAGGGTGCGTTTAATGGGTAGGGCCCAAATCCAATTTCTTGGGCCAGCGGTTCGCGGTTCCAAGAAATTGAGAGAGTAGAAAAATGTCTTGACCTTTAATTATCTTACATCAATCTGCGGAACGTACGCGAAAATACACGAGTCGAATACCATTTCAGTCGTCCAAGACAAGCCGTTGCCATTTCTGTCATTTCGTCATCGGCATCAAATCAGATTTTGATGATACATATTTCTCAACAAAGACTTAGGGCCTGTTCGCACAGCGATATTTCGGAATTACACCTAGTACGCACTGCGAATAAAGTTTTGTACTATTTTCGTCAGTTTAATTCAGTTCTCGGTTGAGACGCACTTTTAAAATAGACAACCGAACAAAAAATTTAATTTATCTAATGTTAAGGCGGCGTAACAGACGTATCAAAAGATGTCATGAGCATTGGATTCAACCACTTACGGCATAGAGACCCATGAAAGGACTTTTCTACATAAAATATCAAGAGTTGCGAAAATACAGAAAAAAGTTAGTTGCTCCACATCAATCTCATCATTTTCTTGCACGGCCGCCGATCGGGCGGAAGAAGAAGCGTGCGACATCTTTTCAATAGCGACGTTGCACGACTGAGCGAAACGCGCGAATTTTATTCCACAGTGCGAACATAGCCATACTTACTTTATACGGTACAAAATATTCGCGCGGAAATAAATCGCACCGCTTCGCGTTCAATTTGCATCAAGTCACAATTTTTTTCCCGCGCAATTTTTTACCGCCAGTGCGGATACTCCTATAATATTAAATGTGTTACAGAATTACGAGAAAAAAATCGCGCGGTGAAATATCGCTGTGCGGACAAGGCCTTAATCAAACTTTGTTTTCTTAACAATCATACGGTTTAATTAAAAAAATCGATTAAGATCACAGTTGGTTACGATTAAGGTATTTAAAATAATCTAAATTAAAATTGTCATCAGTTACTTAAAAATTAGGTTTTTCGTAAATATGATTATTTCATTTAGTAACTTAGATTTCTTATTTTTGTTGTCCATGTTCGTAATAACCTTGCCCAGTATAATTCACTTGACGTTATTTTGGGATACTCCGCAAAAGTCTAGATTTTTTTCCCTGTACTTTTAATTAAAGAACTGAAATTTTAGATAATATTTTTTCAATTATTTAATAGCTTTTCTTACCTTATAGTTTCTACTATTTCCAAAGCTCCGTCGTGTTTGTCCTGTAAAAAAACAAATCACGTAAATCTTAATTTATACATTGTATTATGTAAACAAACGTATATTAATAGTAAACGAATTTATAATAATATGGATTCGTTTGTGTTCCTGTTCCATTCATTTGCACAGCGATTACTTGATAAAGTCCAAACTTTTTATTTATTGGTGGATTTTCAGGAAAGGTTTCTGGCAGACCAGACCCGTAGCACATTCACCTCATAACAGCTAAAAATTAAATTCTTTAAAGATCGTTGCTGTGAATAGAAATATAGAGACCTATTTCTTGTTCTTCAATACACAATTTAATTTATTTTAAATACGGGCTGGTAATATTTGGATTGATTGTATAAGGAACTTTCGAGTAATTTCAAAGTAAAATAAGAATTAACCTTGTTCCATTTAAAGATAAAATGAACGCAAAAGGCAGACAGTGTCGAGATAATTGCGCTGCACTACCGCAGTTATTATGGGCCAATTGAGATATTTGAACTACAGTTTAATAAAAAAAAGGTGTGAAGTTTGTAAATTTTACCATCAAACAATGTAGTGAATATAGAGCTTGGTAGCAGGTAAAAGTTGCAACCCTGTGCGATTAGGATACCAACTGTCACCAAAACACTGGTGGTAGGACCTCTTGGGAGTCCGCACGGGTAGGTACCACCACCCCGCCTATTTCCGCCGTGAAGCAGCAATGCGTTTCGGTTCGAAGGGTGCGGTAGCCGTTGTAACTATACTGAGACCTTAGAACTTATATCTCGAGGGGGGTTGCGCATTTACGTTGTAGATGTCTATGGGCTTCAGTATCCACTTAACGCCAGGTGGGCTGTGAGCTCGTCCATCCATCTAAGCAATAAAAAAAAAATGTAGGGGTACAGATTCAACAAAATCGTGTAAGCAAACGAAACGTGTAGCCCAATTCTTCAGTTGACTTAAAAATCGGTATGCATCCTAGTGGAACGCTACCCTGTAACCTGGAAGCGCTCAGCGCCGATTATGCATGATGATACGACTTCAGTGATAGGGTCGAACAGCGAAGGCCCCAATTTCGACAGGTAGTGCTGAAGGTCTGGTCTCGCCATCCAGCGGACCCAATCGCCAAACTACAGAGCGTCGAGGCGGTTCGTTCGATCCTTACAGACAGAAAGGAGAGGTTTTTTTCCCTACCTATTCTAGTAACCTCGAGGGGTTATTCTAGATTCACCGAATCAGTAGACGAGTTCAGGGAGCTCAAACCAGGAGTGTTGCTAACACTGGCCCTAGGAAGAGCAGTGCTTCGCAGAATCTACCACCGGATCGGAAACGCGATACACTGATTCGGCGAGAAACTCAGTGGGCTGTGTCTATAGGTTAATAAACTCGTCGAGCCCTTCGTCGCAAGCGGCGGGTTCGGCGAGGACGGTGACCGGTAAAGGAGAGGGGAGAACGGTGGGCGCTACGATGCTCGACTTTTGGACAGGGAGTCAGTCTTTTTTTAAGTAGGTGGCCGTACCTCTTGGTACGTTTCCAAGCATAGAGGGCGCGCGGGGTATGTGGGTCAAATAACAGGGAGTCAGCCTTTTTTTAGGTAGGTGGCCGTACCTCTTGGTACATTTCCAAGCATAGGGGGCGCGCGGGGCATGTGAGTCTTTACGGTATTTGGAAATCAAATTAGATTAATCCATGACCTCGACACTTAGCTTTATCCATTGCAGACTTTACTTAAGATCTGCAAATGGAGTAAAAAATCCTACGATAATTCATAAAATTTGCATACATCAAATCTCACACAAAGGAGCTCTCTCTTTCACACCTCACACCATGTTTCTGAAAGATAATGAGCTCACAGAAATCGGGTATCGCCACGTCTCATATTTGACAGGTTGTTTATATGCATTGAATCACTAGAAGTGATATTTATATATCTAATTAACAGATTCAAATTTTTATTCCACAGAAGTATACTGAGTTTTCTCCATGAAATAATATAAAAGACAGAGGATTAACAGTCTTATTACAATAACAAATTATGGATCAACACAAAACAACAAAAACAAAGTAAGGGGTTTGCTTTTTTAATTATTTTTAATATTTCCATTTTGGATTCTCTGCAATCTGCAATATTCTGGTGAATAATTAAATTTCATAGTAATCAGTAATGCAAAATTTTATGATAATTATTGATGTTAAAATTAACAGCAAGTTGTGATGCAAAATTCCAGGATCATCGGTTATGTAAAATTTGTAATGTCATAAACGAGTAGTAAAGTTATGAAACTGTGATGTAGCCAAACTCATTTTTCCATACATAATATTAATATTTAAATATGGAAGTCATCAGGAAGTATAATAGACTTTACAGGAAACAAGCTTATGCTCAAGCATTTCAAATTTTGAAATGTAGACTGTGAGCCAATGCTGTCTTTTCTAAATTTATGACAGGACTAACATTTCATTGGGAGTTAGAGAATTTTTCAGGGAATTTTTCAAGAATAGGCATGATTTCAGCGAGAACATTATTTTCACTCTTTCATATTAATTTAATATGTTTAAGAGCTAGGCATACATACATAGATAGGTAATGTGACAGTTCTTATTCTTAAAAATCTTGTAAAAACATCACATATTACTACTGAATGCATCTTTCTTTTGTATGATGTTATTGTCAAAAAAAGTTAAGCTAATTGATATAGAAGATAAATTGCATGCTAATTTTGACAATAGAGATTATAAATGGACACTAATTATATACACTAAAATGTAACACACTAATTAGCCAGTATTTTTTGACATTTTGAGAAATAATCTTATTTTGAAATATATTTAGCTATTAAAATTTTTACTTAGCTCTTGACAAAAGGGGCCTCAAAAGGGGTCCATAATATCCAAATGAATTGTTTTTGACTATTAAGTAGCTTTCACAACAAATAGATGTGATCAAGTAAAATCATTTATAGTACAAAACATTGCCTAACAAAACCTTGAAAGTCAAATATATTCAGTTTTTATCAGTGACAAGAAATAAATACCAAAACCCTTTAAGTATTTTGTCAGATTTGTGTATTGTTTCCATAAAAGATAAACTAAACACATATACATTGGGCATAATATATTTATTACTTGGCGTTAATTCTTGGTTTGCTTCGTTTCAGGCACCTTTATTATTACTATAACTGGAAACTGCAGTGTCTATCTGTTTATTATTCAAATATTTAATATATTAAATGTCCTGTCCATAAAACTGCCGGAAATTGCAGAAAAGCAACAGATTTCCTATAAAAGCTGTAGAGCTTACACTAAGCACTAGATACTAGATACACTAGACCTAACAACAAATAAGTAAAAACTTAAAAAAAAAACCATTATAATGCAAAATTATATTATATATATAAATATATAATAAATATATTATGAGCAATTTATAAGGTGGAAATTGGCGATGTCCTAAAAATGTAATAACATCAGATTAAGATCTTACTTACTTTAACTGACAAACTGCTGTTAAGCTCATGCTGAACGATTTATTTTATATCAATCACATGCATGTAAAAATAAAAAATTTGGTATTTTAACATTTGCCAACTGCTCAAGCAAACTAAAAAAGGTTCTAGTGTATTAAAAAAAAGATCTAAATGATTTTACTAATATATAAATATAATTTATCTGAATTTTAATTTATCATTGGTTTTATTAAACTTATCACAGACTTCTAATGTAGGTTTTAAGTGGTAAATATTCTTATTCTTTAGAATTATTTTTAATCAATTTAAGTATGTGCTACATTTTTAAACTTTATGTACTTTATTATGGGATAATCAATGACTTCTCCTAATTAGAGTAATACAACATTATTAAATAAACAACCTTAGTACTCACTGAAAAATAAAATTGGCTCCAACAATGTTTAATCTCATAAATTTAAGATGTAGTTGAATTAAAGGAATTATTTTACTTTCTTTACAAAGGAATTATTTTACTTTCTTTACTAAATAATTAGTTTAGTAACAACAATAAAAGTTAAAATTGCTTTCAACTAAAACTGCCATCAATTTTACAGTTTCTGTGGAGACTACCAACTAGTTTAGATATATAAATACCGTGCTCTGATATCTATACAAATTGACACTGTTGGCACTCCGAATTTAGAACTAATCACAAACAATTGCATTAAATGGGTCGAAATTGCTACATGATATACGTACATTAATGTTCACTTCATTGATAAACTTTATTATGACGAACGAAAACCACGCAACAGTGTGTACACATCTAAAAAAGCCGACACCTTGACAAAACACGAGGTCAATACACTCGACAGCAATACGCATGTGACGTTGAAATTGAAACTAGTTACACATTTTTACAATAAACAAACAACGTTTAAAACCTAACAACAAGTTAGTGACATAACTGTCTTCTAAACTTTTGACCTCATCTATTCTAAACAACACACTACACGCCAAACTTATACCTACTGGTATGGATTATTACATCTCGCTTTTCAGATGCAGTAACCAATTTCGTTAATGATATGAAAGCCTTAAACTGTAAATATTTTGAGATACTATTGTATTATATTGACTGGCTAAGAGATGCACTGTTTTATTGGACATTTCTTACCGAGCCATGACCTGAAGTGAGGGGCCATGTATAAACAACAGGTTCCGCGCCCGCAGGAGAATGCAGGCGTAAATCCAAAGCCATTATAATAAAACCGATGCATTAATGCACACTTATTTCACTTATCCACTAATATAATCACTAAATACACTAGAATTTATCATAATTTCACAGCACTTTCACACACACACACTCTGAACAAACGGGCGCCATATTGAAATTATTTTTACATTCCAATCCAATATCCAATCATGGCCGACAAATACTAGGTTGTTTTAGGTTTAAATTTTAATCTATGAAAATTTGGCATCTCGCTTTGTTTTTTATCATGTATAAATACGGCGTATAAAAGCACGTTGCAAAACATCATTCCTATTATCAAATCCAAATTTTTAAGCGTTTATACTAACTAGTAAATCAAAGAGACTATGTAGTATTGTGAACTAGTCTCATCATTGTGATGTGGGTATAGAGGTCAGTAACTTCTTTAGAAAACGTTTAACACATGGGAAAGGTTATTTAGCTTAAACACAATTGTATATGTTCCTATTTCAAAATATTTCTGTATTGTACAAGATAAATTTACTCAAAAAATGATTTTGTTATGAAATGATTATGATTTTTTACTCAACAAAATTATACATGTTCCTCCTCCTGAGGTGACCATTCATCTGTATGTATTTCTATCGCACGATCTTTGATGTAATAGTAATAATAATGTAATTGCGATAAGTATTAATTAACTGATACGAATGAACGATTGATAGAAATAGCGACATTTTTTTATTGCATAGATGACTGCTCTTTCGCGACCCACATGGTCTAAGTGGTAACTGCATATCAATGTGGTCACTAGCTCATAACAATATAAACACCACAACTCCAATGTATTGTAAAACAGCTCTCACAACCTTCAAACCAGAACATAAGATTGCTTCACTACTTCACTAAAAATAAGTAGGTAATTAAGTTTATTGTACTTAAATTTGGCGTATAGACCATTTATATTAAAATAAATCCGTGGATTTTTTATAAGACGTAATGGTAAGTGGTTACCGTCGTTTATGGACATCAGCAGTGCCAGGGGCACAGCCAAGTCGTTACACGGTTGCTGCCTACCCCTGAGTACTCTCCGTAGGCCTAGTTTGAAGAAAAATATGTCATAGGGTTCAGTATATACCGTGGAGGGAAGCTTAATCAAGAACCGAAGGGTACATGGCAAAATAGATCTATATAAACGAACTTTTGATGAACGTAGCGGTCCGGGGTCCATAAGGGTGATAATTGTTTAACTTAATTAATTATAAATAAATAAAAGACGGACAAACAATTTTTACATTCGAATATTAACGAACAAACGACGAACAAATAAATGAAAATAAAAAAAAACCGAAAATCAAAAAAAAAGGGGGCCAAATTCAGTGAGCCAGAATGCACAGACCGCGTCGTAGATGTACATAATACCTACCTACTAATACCAACCTATACATATTACCTACTTAAATAAGTAGACTCAGGTGACTGAAGTTAGCCCCTCAAAAAATTTTTTTTTTCCTATTTTATACTCATTTTCTATTAATTCGTTTGTTCATCATTTGCTCATGATTGTTCACTGTTAATAATTGTTTGTTCTGCATTTATTTATTTAAAAAAAATTATTTAAAAATATACCTACAAGTTAGCCCCTCTAATGCAATTTTTAATATTTTTTCATCCTTAATGACTCGTAAATATTAATTTTCGATTGTTCTTATTTAAAACACGTTTGTTCTCTTTCGAAATTACTCGCTTTTTGTTTAATTTACTATTTTTATTAGTTGAATAAATGTATGCAAAATATGTGTACTGCGCATGCGTCAACTATAATGCCTAAACTTTCTACGCGGTTTTAATCGTGAAAAAAAAAAAACAAATATAAATCCTGAAGGAGCAATTAATTGGTATACAGTTTAATTAAAATAATAAAAAAATAAATAAATGAAATAATGTGCATTGGCGTTAAGTTAGACCAAATACATTTTTTCCATCCTCTTACCTATCGTATTAAAATGTTATTTTACTAATGTTAGGAATATAATTTCGACTGTGTAAAAAAGTTATTATAATGTATACCTACATTATCTCTTGAATGATAAATAATGAACATATTTACTTATTTGTTTATATTACCTATGTGAACTCCCTATCTTTTTTATACCTTCATAACGATAAGTAGGAGGATGGAAAAAATGTATTTGGTCTAACTTAACGCCAATGCACATTATTTCATTTATTTATTTATTTATTTTTTTATTAAACTGTATACCAATTAATTGCTCCTTCAGGATTTATATTTGTTTTTTTTTTTCACGATTAAAACCGCGTAGAAAGTTTAGGCATTATAGTTGACGCATGCGCAGTACAAATATTTTGCATACATTTATTCAACTAATAAAAATAGTAAATTAAACAAAAAGCGAGTAATTTCGAAAGAGAACAAACGTTTTTTATATAAGAACAATCGAAAATGAATATTTACGAGTCATTAAGGATGAAAAAATATTAAAAGTTGCATTAGAGGGGCTAACTTGTAGGTATATTTTTAAATATTTTTTTTAAATAAATAAATGTAGAACAAACAATTATTAACAGTGAACAATCATGAACAAATGATGAACAAACGAATTAATAGAAAATAAGTACAAAATAGGAAAAAAAAAAATTTTTGAGGGGCTAACTTCATTCACCTAGTAGACTCCGTACCACGAGTCGTGTCTTGCAGACGGGGCGCTACAGGGGCGCCATGGAGTGTTGTCAGATTGCACTATTAGATTCGCTATAATTTAATTTCCAAGAAATTTAAAATTAAACTGATTTTATAGTAATAGGTAATAAATAGTATTTAAACACAATAAAAATTATATTTTTTTTATATCGTCCTAACCTATTTATATCTATACTAATATTATATTTCCAAGCGCTATGGTACTAAATAAAGAAAAAACATTTTAAATTTTAATTGTACAATTATGGTCATCTATTGGGGTTATTCCAGACATACTGCAAGGACTATTCGGATCATCTACATTCATATCACTATCATTATCAGATTCTGTTTCGCTATCACTTGCTGCAAATATTATAAATCAGTCCATTTCTTCGTCTATCAGACCGTCGTTTTTAAAATATTCATCTTCTAGATGCTCCACATGCTTTCATTGAATAGCCCAATCTTCTGGTGTTACACTTGCAAGCGCATCTTCTGTAAGTTTCACACTGTTTTTTGGGTATTGTTCCAAATTTTTCTCTGCCATACGTCTTTTAACAAGGCTCCATATTTTTTCAATTGGGTTTAGATCGCAATGATACGGTAGAAGTTTTAAAACTTCGTGATTGTGACTTTTTAAAAGTTCATTTACAGCATAAGTAGGCGGTCCTTTATTTTGTTTTATAAGGTTATATAATACGGGTTTTATCCTGCTCTCTTCAAAATAAATACCCCTTTCTCGCAACCAATTAAGCATTTCGTCTTTTAAAGTTGACATGGTTGGAGCTTCATTTATTTGGGTACAGTGGTATGGAGCATTATCCATAACCACAAGAGACCTTGTTGGCAAATTTGGAATTAATTTTTCATTCATCCACTTGAGGAAATTGGCTGAATTCATGTCATCATGGTAATCAGAAGACTTTGATTGAGATTTAAAAATAAATAAAGCATTACTAATAAAACCATTTTCTGTACCAGCATGTGCGATTATCCATCTACTCCCAACAGAATCTGAAGTGAAAAGTCTTGGCTCTTCCTCACTTTGCCAACAACTTTTAGAATGGTATGTGCTGTGGATATAAGTCTCATCTACGAATACGACGGGTCTTTTTTTGGTGGTTCGATTCTTGCGCATTTTTTCTATATATTTAGCGCACCAAACAATTATGTCAGAGCGCTCCATTAATATTTTTCTTTTGGACTGGCACCGTTTGTATTTAAATCCATTTTTTTTTCAATATTCTATGCAATGTCTTCTTAACGATTTCCTTTAAAATTAATGTCTTGTTTTAACACTGCAAGTAATTTGCTTAATGTCAGCAGTTCCTTTTTTACAGCATAAAATTGGTGAATTTTATGGCGAATAGCACAAATATCAAAATCATCTATAATTATCTTATTTTGTCGTGGACGACTCTTCCCTGGTATGATAATCTTTTTTGAAGTACTTGCAGCAGTCTTTCCTTCTTGTATTATTCTTGATACGGTTTTCTCAGATACACCTGGAATTTTTTTTAAGCCATGTTAGTCTTAATTTAGTAAACTAACTTAGTTTTTATCAGTGGTAGTTAGCTGTATATGGCGTTTGTATGTCGTGTATGTCGTCTGCTCGTTTATCTTCCTTTGCTCAATAAAAAGTCTAGTGTCCTAGATTATTGATAAAACTTATGAAACAAATGATAAATTTTAAATAAATAAAACTCTAATGTCATCATTTGTGTAGTAAAAAATTATACAAAGTGCTGATTGTAATAACAAGAAATCTAAAATTCAAAAATCAAAATTTTAAATTTTCTTACAAAATAAAATCCAAATCGAATGGCAAAACACATTAACTAGCAACACTAAATATGTACCTGTAATGGCGACTTTTTGGCGGGAACGCGAGGAGTGATGTCGTGTGATTTGTTTTATTTTGTCTATTTAGTGTTTCTTCGGGTTTAAATGTGTAATAATGGTGGTTTATTAACCGTTTAATATCTGTGAAAGTGCACAAATGTGGAAAAATGAAACAAAGCCGCTGGACGTAGCTTCTCGGGATCCTCCAAAAAGTCCACTGAAAAAATCTTAGTGAATGACCACCATTTTACTGAGATTAGATTTCATGTCATATCATCTCATTTAATTTCATCCCAGTTGATTAATGTCTCAAATTAATCATTTTCATGTCATTTCACTCCATAATATCATTTTTCATAAAATTAAGAATATACATTAAAATGACTTAAAGGTCTCAGTTGCCAGGTCATAAAATCTCTTAAATAACCTGTAATGGCAGCGACTCTCTTGCGTACATTGTCTAATGGTATCAAAAGTCCTTGATTTTGCTGTTCTGGTTCAGAAAACGCCATTACTTGCAGTATCATTTCTCGGCCACCACTTTTTATCACTTTAGACATTCTACAGAACACTTTATATCAAAGAAATAAATAAAAATCTTGACAACAACCGAACACGGTAACAGCATTTGACAGTAACAACAACAAACAATATGGCTGACCAAAATAATTAGTTCCATTTTTGGCCGCGAGACAGGACTCGTGGTACGGAGTATAGTTTGAATGCGGTAGTCTTTGAGCACCGTACCTGAATGTCAAGTAGGTAATATCTCTGAAGACGAAAGAGTTAACAAAAGCTATGGATAGGAATATTGATTTAGAAAAACATCGATTTACGAGTATCGATATACTTAATAAAATTGGAAAGAAAAAACATTGAAATCGGGCGTCAATCTCTTATATTTTTATTATTTTTATATGAAATGGAAGTTTGTGTCCTGTTATGATAGGTTACCTTATACCGAAATCAATAAAGTTATTAAATTTTATTTTTTATAAAACTACCTATTTTTCACAAAACGTATTTGAACGAAGATCCAGAAATAAAACACGATTCATCGCAATGCTTTGCGTTCAAAAGTGCTGCTAAATCAATAAAATAATATTATCTCATAATTTTATTTATTTAGCTCATTTTATTGGCCTTTTAATCAGATGACCATACAGATCACCTGATGATAAGTAATCTCTTTTGCTCATGGACATCACTGATATCAGGGCACAACCAAGTCACTGCCTACTATGGCTTAGTCGTTACTATAGCAGCAAAAACATTCCAAAAGTGAGTTTTACTAGTTTAATCTAGTTCTTATATTATTATATACAATAAAATAAAAGCTCTTTTTGAATACAACTTTATTACCTTCAGTAAAAGGTTTAATGTGACGACTGAACTTTGGGCATAGACCGTGCGCCGGGTTGCGGTTACATTATACCTAGTCAGGTCATAAGTATTGTCACATAGTAAAAACTTTTCTTTTAGAATGCTGGCCACAAAAAAGTTTATTGAATTCGAATTTCGAATTGTTCATGAAAATAAAAATGTATACTTTTAGAATTTTACTCATTTTTAAATATGGAGTGGACGCTTAAAGAAGACCGTGTTGCAGTTATTGCGTTGCATCGTTGCGGTTACGCGCCAATTCAAATTTTTAACATACTGAAAAATTTGAATATAACCAAAAGATTCGTTTATCGTACCATCAAACGATACAATGAAGACTCTAGTGTAGATGACAGGTCAAGAAGTGGTCGCCCTCGGTCTGTTAGGACTCCAGCAGTGATAAAAGCTGTGAAGGCGCGAATTCAAAGAAATCCCAAACGTAAGCAGAAACTGTTGGCCCTTCAGATGGGGTTAAGCAGAACCACGGTGAAAAGGGTGTTAAATGAAGACTTAGG